AGCTGTAGCAAGCAGCGTTTGTTCCAGCCCAGCTGTGGGATCAGGTCTGCATCGGAATCGACCTTCAGGTCACGCTGGACGGTGCCGTGACTGCAAACTGGCAGACCAGCAGGACTTTTTGTGCCGGGCCAAGAGGCTGCAAACGCACAGGATCTGCTCGATATGTGGCACGCCCACGTCCCGCAAATTTTTGGAAACATAGAAGTAGGATCTCAGCCCAAGGCACGTGGCAAGAATGCATTTTGGAGCCGAGTGTGGCCAAAGAGTGTATCGTGTCAAGGCAGTGAGACCCCGGGCATCCTCTTTGTTGCAGAGCACCTCTTTTTGACGGTGTACATCCTGGCAGCTTGGTGAGGGATGAGCAGAGTGCCGAAGGGGTTGCGGTTTGCTCTTCTTGTTTGGTTGCTACTCGTGCCACATCAAATGTCCACTTGAGCTCATTTTTCTTTTTTTAACATTTTGTCACGGCATGCTGGCAAACACCGGGTGTTCATGCAGTCAGAGGCCGTTCAGTGCGTTTTAGCCTAGTCAGGTCTTTTCGAAGCGTGGGCAGGATGAATTTTATCATAGCTCCACTGATCATAATGCTCGTATGCAGAGCTTGCATGCCATGGCATGGTTGGCACAAGCTGTGTGACCAGAAAAGTCTTGAATTTGAGTTGACAATTCTTTATTCTCGTCCCACGGCAAGTCGTGCGTTCGTCATGGGATACTGTCACGGTCAGACAACCCCGGGCAGCTGTGCCATGAACTCTCCGATGTCCCTTAGGAGTACTTGGTGCGATTGCTCGCCATGGGTCCGGGCCTTACTTTACATATTAGCATCCTGTTGCTGACAAGCCCTTGGCAGAAGAGCATTTTGCCTTTGGGGAACAGAAAGCCAACAGTCTTCCGTTCTCCAAGACCAGGAAGCCTTGCAACTGAAGCATGTGGCTGCAATGCATGCCTGTCACAATGTAGTATGTAAAATGCGAGAAGATAACGGACGCAGTCTCCTCACATCAAGTTCAAGCCAAAACAGCCTAAGGCCCCTGCAGTTTCAATGCGATGCCAGTGAAACCCAGACCTTTTCGGCAGTCTGGAAAGTCTGAAGCTTTTGAAGCTCGATGCTTGCCATGATGTAAGAGCTTGAGGCTGGTGTGAATACTACGGCGACCCCTGGTGCATTCTTGACTTCTCTTTGATGCTTTGCGGAGTGGCCTGCTGCATATCAATATCAGCTTTGGAAAGGGCGATGCTCGCAGATGGACCAAGTTCAGCTCTTAAGACTATGGTGGGGCATGTTTAATTGCTTTGCTGGTCGAATGTCGCTCTTAAGGTACGTTTGGCTTCTGGACAGCATGCAATTTCAATTTCATGTTCCACAAGTTCTTGTTAAGGCGAAGGCGCCAAGCAACAGCGAATTCCCCTGAAATTTGAACTAAGCTGCAAGGATGAGCACTGCGCACAAGCATGGGCAACCTTGTTCAGATTTTGCAGCCCTGAAAAAGAATCAACCCAAAAACACGTCAAGTCCAGTGTTTCGTAGATTCTCAGAGTGCTCCGCAGACGCTTGTTTGCTCTGGCCTCTACCGCCCTGCTCGGCATGTCGGAGCTTGATTGAACGAGTAATCGCATACTCGTGCTGTGCAGCGCGTGCAGAATAATCGGCAACCCCGCCTCATTAGGGTTGGATCTTCCACGCTTTCTGGGCCCTTCAACGAGGTGATTGGGGCAGTGGTGGTTCCGACCCTACGGTCCACAGGCATTGGTTGCATCTTCTTCATTTTCTAGGAAGACTCAACAGCCCAACAAGCCGTGCGCGGATCAGGATGGGCATTAAACAGTTGGAAGCTAGAAGGGCTGCAGCATATTAGGAGAAGCCACATGTCTTTGCCAGCATGACTGGGTTGTGGACGGGATTCCTCCCAATCCTGACGTGTCATCCTGTTCTTGAAAGATGTGCCCCAAACCTTTGCTCGGCCAGGCCACGACATGGACTCGCTTGCTTGGCTCCAGTCCATTTTGGTAGTTCGAGCCCTCCGCTTGCCACTTGGCTCGAAAACAGAATCAGCCCACCTACAGCTCAGCCTGCTTGCATGCCCACGGCAAGTCCATTATCATTATCCATTTGGGTCAGAATAGCTGTAGTTGTGGCGGGGAACCTGGGGTGCCTTGATCGGATCTCTAAGTGCTGCGCTTAGAGTGTATAGTGGGTGATCATCATGAATGACCCGCTTAAGCTCTCGATGTGACTGCAATCGCCTTCAACGCTCTCACATTGATGTGATCCCATGTGGCGCTGTCTCGTCAAGGCTTCGCTTGGTGCGGGCCCTGCGGGCGCTAACATATTTTCGCACGGCTCCTGGGCAAGCAGGCAGCTGCGATGTTGCAGAGCCCCTTTGCCTCAGGAGCCTCTGTTATTTTCCTTTTAGGCATTTTGTTTGGCCAAAGCCTCCAGGCTCTTTACGCTCGGCAGGGCCAGATACCGAGGTAATGCTTCAGTGTTTCCCAGAATTCTTGCCAGCCGGAAAGTTTGGTCATGCACCATTTCGTTCGTAGCAAGGGTCTTGCACACGTGGTGTTCTTGCTCTGCGCGTGGATGCCTTTTTGGCGCAGTGGCCCAACGCAAACCAGGTCTGGAGGTTGGTCCATGGGCTTTTGACATCGTGGAACGCCATGCTGTCAACTCTTGCCATGAGCTCAGCTAGGAGCCAAATTGTCAGATCATTATGATGTGCCTGGTTGCCATGTTGGCAGAAGCAATATCGTACATCATGTATGCAAGGTACGATATGTCTCTGGTTTCTGTAGCACTAAGAGCCCGATATAGCATCACGGCAGCAAGCCCCTGTATTCAGCACAGGCTTGAATACCGTCTAAACCACCCATGCTCAGATGAGGCATGCTGGCCTGGAGCAGGTCTTTGCAGTGCTGAAGTAAAGCCGTGGTTCAGAGCATCAAATCAATAAGCTAGCTGGCAGTCTTCAAGACGGGTTGATTTCCTCCCGATACCAGGCACTCATCACTCTGACGCTCTACACGTCGGCTTGCATTGCCATCGCAACTGATTTCAAAAAGAAGAGATTACATTTTCCGCGGCATGCTGTGCAGAATGATATGTACTGAGCGGAATTTTCTCTGGTAAGTGTGCTAGCAACATGACATCCAGACAGCCCACATTCAGGCACAGTTTCAGCCTAACACTTCCTCCTATCTTGAAGGGCCTTGCCAAAAGTGTGTCGCAGCTTTTAATCATGACATTGCTGCCTTCGCTTTACACTGAGCGGCTGCAGGGCAATCAGGACACTGCATCCATTCTGAGCTTCTGTGAAGGAAGGCTTCCAACCGGGTTGAAGTGTATTCTAGTTCTTTGAGCCCTGGAATACTGCCTCCTTTCCTTGACTGTGTTCAGAGAATGGCTGCTTGGCTTGGTGCCTCCAAGGAGATCGTGACCAAAGATCCCGAGCTGAACTCCAATCCGTACACCTCGGGCATTGTTAGGGACTACTTCAGCAGCCACACGCCTGGTTCATTTGGATGCTGAATGGCTACGATGTTCAGTCAGGGGCAGGGAGCAGTCCAGAGCGACAGGGCCGAGATGCCCTTCATGGTAATTGGGAGATACTGAAGCAACATGCAAAGTTGGTCGTGAGAGGTGATTGAGACTGACAGAGCGAGTTAGTGTCCCAGGTCTTGGCAGCACATTCCTCACTCTGACTCAATTTGTCGCACTGGATAGCGCGGCGGCTGTTTACAAGCCGAGTCTTGGGCTGCAACCTGGTTTGAGGGCTCCCCCTAGACATTGCTGTGAACAACGATGTTGCAGGGCAGTTGTACGGACACTGCGATTCTAGAAACTCTTATTGATTACTATTGTTTTGCGCTGCCATGACGCTGGACGTCTCGAGCCGTGGCTCCAACCACAAGCCTAGCCTTTAAAGGAATGTGCGAAAGACGTGCCAGCAGGTCCCAGGTCAAGGACTCTGAAGGTCTCCTCAGGATTAGCGTCCTGTAGGCATACCTTTGGCCAATGGGCTGGCAGGCTCGTGGAGGCAAAGCCATTTCTGATGTTCTACTTCGGCTCCATTGTCCTGCGCCTTTGCCGACATTTCGACTGATCAGTTTGGTCCACTGTCATCAGTATTACAGTGCTGTACCAATTGTACAGTGTTGCTGTTGCTACCTTCCTAGCAGCAGATCTGTATTCTAATTGTCAGAGTTCCATACTATACCTGCTAAGGTTTGTGTCAATTGCGCTCATGCCACTTGGAAAGCATATCAGGAAAGCTGCCAGAAGATCTGTCGAGAGTTCCAAGCACGCTCGTACTTTCCACGGGTCACTCCAAATCACTGGGGCTTGCTGGCATGGCTGCTTTTAGGAGCATTACAATGTCCTGTCACTTAGTCACTTGGCCAAATATGTCAAGCATCGAAGCTTTTCCGTCAGGAATTGGTACCGCTACTTGCAGGTCACAAAAGCATTGACCAGAACGCTTTGCTGCAACTGCAATCAAGCCAGATGCTGTTGCATCTCACAGAAGCTTCGAACTTTCAACAGGAACCTGGTTACTGCGGTGCTCGTCGAAGGCATCCTGAAGCGTCTGCAATCTGTTCCAGTTGTCCTACTAAAAGCGTAAGTGCGGGCGCGGTTGACAGCTGCCTTGTCTTCTGTGTCGTCTTGGGGTCTGGGTGCTTGATGTCGTTGGGCGGCGCTGAAAGGTGTGGCTTGACCACCACCCTTACCACCGCCGCTACCCCTAGCATTGCTACCATATGCGTACTACTGCGAGTACGCGAGTACGGCTACTACCAGTACTGTACTGGTGGTGGTGGTGGTGGTGGTGGTGGTGGTGGTGGTGGTGGTGGTGGTGGTGTTGGCGGCGGCGGCGGCGGTGGCGGTGGCGGTGGCGGTGGCGGTGGTGCCTCTATGGCTTTGCATCTACATGCATCTACTTCTTCTACCGCTACTACGCCTTTACGCTTGCGGCTCTCACCTACTCTGCTGCTGGTCTTTGGAGGCGCGCTGAACCACGCTCAAGCAGACAGAGACCTGGAGAAGCTTGATCGAAACGAACGCCGCGTACTTACTTCGATGGTGCTGTGCAGACATCAGCTCGACAGTTTCAGTTGAAAGTCGAGTGGATTCGGATAGTGAAACGACATGCAACAGGGGCTTTGGTAAGGTTTGTCAACGTAACCTGCGTGAGGCAGTTGGTTGTAGGAATGGACCCTGAAGAAGCTGCGGCTGAAAATTCTGGAGGTTATGGCACGTGGCATGATAGCGCACCGGAAGTGTAGCAATACTCCAGATTCCACAGGAACTGCACGAGCGCTCGTGACTCTGATCAACCTTTTCTCCGAAGCTTGGCAGGATATCAGCGTGAGTAGAACCAAGCTGCATAGATTGGGGCTGGAGCGGATCTTGTCCAGTTTTTGTTTGTAATTTTATGCAATCTTCGTGGGGACGTTGCCAGTCTCGCAAGACTGGATGCATGTCATCTGTTCTCCCTTTCTTTGGCAGAGAGTTCCCAACATTTTGCAACACCTGACGTAGGCGATGAATAAGGGTTTGCCGCTTCAAAGATCGCATGCGTAGGCGATGGATAAAGATGGTGATGGCACCATCACCCTGGCGGAAATGAAGGCCGGCTCTGCTCACCTTGCGATAGCCAGCTTAGCTCCAGAACAAATTAGGTGCCATTGGCAGCGTCTGTGAGCTGACAGTTTGGCGGTTCTTTCTCCGATGAATGGCAGGTAGACCTAGAAGAGTTATGCAGCTGTTCTTCTTGTCAAATGTTGGCATGGCCTAGTGCTATGCTTACCCTATGCACAACGCTGTACCAGAAAGCTCCATGACGCTTTCGCTCCGAGGAACATGTACAAGCTTCCGGCACTTTTTACGGCACGGAACGTCAGTGCTTACTACGCTAGCAGATTCATGCTTCATGAACAAACACATCATACGCCAACAAGCTCAAGGATGTGCGTACCAGGAGAGCAGGTTCTGAGTTAGGGGACTTGCGTGAGGCGGTACCTCCGAACCTGCTCCCAGCAGAAATCTTCCAGCAAGACCAGTCGGCGACCATCCAAGAGGCCTTCGGGATTGATCCACGATGTGAGGGACATTTCAATGATCAGGAAGGAGGCGCCCTAGTTTCCCGGCCATGGCTGCGCAAGCTTGTGGCTCTCACTTCCGACCCAGGAATCTATCATGATGGATCGAATGACTTGCAAAAGCCGTGCCGGGGAATATGAGTTGTAAAATTTCACGCCGTGACATGATCAGACTAGCAAACTTGCGGTTCAACTCACTGGTTCAACGTGGGCAGGTTCAGTCAGCTTCCATGTCGGGATTTTTGACACTTTGCATGCCGTTCGACATGCTCCTGGTTGATGTTGCGTTCTCTTGCAAAACGATAGTTGGTGCAGAAAGCGCTCATGGACATGCTGATTCCAGCGAAAAGCCAGCACTGCAAATCAACGGAAATCCAGGGCTTACAAGAACGAGGATTCCGGCATCATGCAGTGATAAGCCACCGCTAAATGCATGGCGCTCACGGAAGCCTAGTACTTAGACAACACAGCGAATCAACGAAAGCCCGAATGATATTATCCCGCCTGTATCTACTCGCTCAAGTAAGTAGGGTGGCATAGGCTTCATCTTCATCACTGAGCAGCTGTTAACAAATCTGGGACGCAGATTTCAAGCCCAAGGTGTTCGAGGCCCTGGACGTTGACGATCAGGGCACCATCGATCAGCGAGAGCTGCTTGGAAAAGCGATTGCCGCTTCAGACTCCATGCGGTCATGTGCTACTATCCCACGCTCACAGACCAGGAAGCACATTGCATGCCTTACAGCTTTCTGCAGAGGTTTGTGGAGGGCCTGTTGGCAGTTTTCCTCCAAGACATGCCGTTGGACCGACTTGAAGTTCTGAAGCTTCTGCGAAAGCACCTTGCATGCAGAAAGTCTCTCTGGCACAGATCTTCGACGCGAGCAAGTAGCAAACCAGTGCAAACCAGTGACCGCTTGACTCGCGTTCCAAGTGCCATGCGACCGTTCGGGAAGCAAGCTTGTCTTTGCTGCTGCTGGTGCTGCTGCGGCGTTGTTTCTGTTCTTGTTGCTGCCGCCGTCAGGGGTACCTTGCAGCCTGAATATGTCTTCTGATAGAAGTGCTGAAGCAAGTTGATGCCGCACGCACTAGTGTCAGCAAGATATTATTGGAGCCCGAACGGAGTTGGAGTTGGCGCAGGCAGAACCAGAGGTTGGAAGAGATCCAGCAGGCCGGATGGCGGTGATTTGTGAGGGACAGCTTGGCATAGCAGCACTTCTTTTTCAAGAAAGCGTGCTCAGCAGCTGCTTGATACTGCTTGCTACGTGCTCGCACCATGCGGATATCCAAAGTTACTGATGTAAACTTCAACCACAAGTAACCTACAACTGTGCCGGCTTTCTCACACCTCTTGCTCATCCTGCTCATGGCCGTGCGAAAGTGCGCTGTGGCAAGGGGTTTCAATTTCTGACCAGCCTTAGAGTCTCAAGAGATTTCAGATGAACGAGGTCTCACAAACCTTTACTGAAGGTTCGCCTTGTTCGCTTGAGCTGTTGTAAGCGACCTCCCTTGCCTCCGAAACGAACTTGCTTCACTGGTAGGTTCTACGGCCGCGACGGCTGATGCAGAGTTCTGCTGAGGATTCAAATTCCCTTGTGGCTGAAGCTTGTAAGCAATAGTTCAATAGTATTCGGTTTCAGGTGACACAAAACTTGAGCTCGAGGCAGACTTTCAGTGTCTAGGACAGTCGTCAAGGTTGTTTGTGGTTGTTGTCGCTGTCGTTGCTGCTGCTGGTTGCATAATTGGAAGTGTAAGATGCAACGCGGGTGCACGTTCCGATCCGCCTCCATGAGCTTCGATGTTTCCATCCGCAGATGATCAAACTGGCGAGACTGGCCGGTCACTACTCTTATTCGGCATTGAAGGGTGCGTGTGTGTGTGTCGTGACAAAAGACGGGTTCTTTCTGTTAGGAACGGATCTTGCAAATTGTTGGCCTCGTTACTCCAGATCATTTTCCTCTCTAAGTTCAAGATTCTGTGTAACGGGATGCTGCAGCAAAACGCTAGTAGGGATGTGCTCAGAAATCAAGCATGTCTCTGGAGCTCCTGAGAAGGCCCGGCAGTTCTGGGACAATCGCTTAGCAGCGTCTCCCAGCGTAAACACTGGAGAATTGAGAGGACTAGTAGATCACGAAGAGTCTCTGTAAGTTGCGCATGAGCTCACATACCACGCTCTCTACAATCCAAGCATGCTGGCCGCGAATCTCCTGCTCCCAAGCATATGAACCAAAAGGGGAGGACACGTAGACGTTGCCATCATCGCCCCACTTGTCAGAGCACCAAAGGGCAAAGCCGTTGAATTGCAATTCAGGTATGATGAGCCACGCCTAGATTGCTGAAGGCTCAGGCACAGCAGCTGGCTGAAAAGGCGCAGCAACCTGCTTCGCCTGCAGAGACGGGTCCAAAGACCTCTCGAGCAGCGGTATGCTCTCCGAACTTGGTGCTTGTTGCTGGCCAGAAAGGATGCTGTATGAAGACAGAATACTCAGCACCCCACAGGGCCCGAGCACCCGAATGAATGTGAAATAAAGTGAACATCTTGACGCATGGACTAGATCGATGGAGGGGTCCAGAGGCTTCTCACATGTATTTAAACAGATGTCAGGTCCTGCTGGAAACTAGAATCTGTTGGTGGTCGGTAACGCGGCAGAAACTTCAGCTGTTTATTGCGTAGCACTGCTCAGCTGCTGAGCCGTTCAGCAAGCATAGGCTAACCCCAC